AGTCTCTGAGTGATTGCTTAGAAATGTTTTCAGGGCTAGATGGGACAGAAAAGCCTCCAGTTGTACCAAGTCTACTTGGTGTTACCTGTACACTGATTAGAGCATGATCAAACTCCCCATGGCCAACACTTTAAAGAAAACTGAGTGCTTCCCCACTCCAACATTGCCAGAAGCTATCACCTGTGAAGAGCTATACTTCAGCATGTATACCACAATTTTGAAGAGTTTTTGTGGGGTGTGATGGGAGTGTGGGAGAGTGACACAGAAGACTCCAGTCTCTCATTCACAATTATGAGACAACACAGCAAAAGAAGCGTCCTTGCCCTTTATAGTCAGTGGCAGCATGGATCATCGACTTCCACATGTTTTCTGGCTATAGCACAGGCCATGGACATCAACATGGCTTCAAGTGGAAACACTGAATGGACATCCCCATGAACTTTGGTGGTAACATGGGTCTGGGCATCAACACAGTCCCTTGCTGCAGCAGGGACACAATATGGCCCTTGTCAGTCTTGGCAACATCAACATGGCTTTAGGCAGTAGCACAGGCCAGGCACATCAACATGGCTCCTGGCATCAACACAGACCACAGACTCTAACACTACTTATTATTAAGACCAAAATCTGAAAGAAGAGAGGAATACTGCTCCAAATGAATAATCAAAGGTTTTTTTCCCAGAGAATAAAAGCTCCAAGGATAGAGCAGAAGTCGATAGCTGAGGCCCAGGGCAGTGTCGAAATGCACTAAGGACTGCCAGGGCTAAACTGTGGGGTGGGCACAGGTGCAAAAAGGTGAGGGAGGGGTTGTGAGAATTGCAGAAGAAATCATTAGACCACGTAGATGGTCTAAAAGTAGAATAGAGTTGATTTCATTTTATACCTGTGTCAGAAGACTGAGCTTATGTTTACTCTCTAAGTTTAACACCATGAAAACTGAGTCAGGAGTTATATATCTTGGCTTTACCATCTTCAGATTCTTCCAGAAAGCAGATATCTTGCAGATAGAAATGGCTGGCTTACTATCTTTGCACTGCTATTTATTTTTCTAAGAGGAATTAAAAAGCTGGAAGAGCTATTGGAGCCTCAGTTTCCTCTACTCTACAATGGGATGCTGTTGACTACATTGTGTTGTGGATGTTAATGCAGGCATTAAATTGAAAGCTCCTAGCTTAGTGCTATGTAACAGGTATTAAATAGCAGCTCCTTTTTAAAATGAAAATAAAATCTAAGCATGTTTTCTGGAGGAAAGTGTTACACAAACACAAATTATATATTCCAGTTCCAACACCACCTAGCTGATATGTTTTAGGAAGAAACCCAGACGTAACTGAAAAAAATGTTTTGAACTCACCCCAAACCTCCCCAGCCCTCATGCTTCTACAACTGGAACCCAAGGATGAGGTAAAGTCCCCATCTGCGCAGCACATTCTTTGAATATGAAATTTAAATAAAAGCCTTCTCAGTGTGTTTAGATAGGACCCCTTGGCTTTGGGGCAGATAAATCTGATTCAATTAGAATCTAATCCTACTCACTTGTATTCACAATGCTTTCACTAAAACCATCGAGAAAGAAAAACAATAGTCTGTTTAATTAAATTATGCTAAAGCCTGAATTCAATCCAACTGTGTATTAAGAAGTGAGACCATGAATATGGATTGAAATGCTCTGCACAGAACTCCAAGACCAGCTCCCCAACCCCTTCACATTTGGAATGATGCATCATCCTCATTCATACCCCACACTGTAAGGTATATCCAGCTGATCTAGCCAGACACAAAACATAATTATAATTATATTGTTCCCTCATCTTCCTTCTTTCAGTTTGCTGTCTCTGGCTTCTGGTGGAACCCTATCATCCCATCTCAGTTGTCCATTTCTCTCCTGTTGCCCATGGTGGCTCTCTAATTCTTGGGCAGGCTGGTGGGCCAGCTAACCCTTCTTCCTGCTCTCTTCCTTATACTGACTGTCCTTTAGAAGGGGCCTGAAGCTTCCTGGGACCTCATCCTGAGTGATACGGAAAAACTGCAGGTTTTGCCTGCTCAGATAATAAAAAATCTATGCATGAGCATCAAAGCTAACAGTGCTTGTTATTTGGGAGCAATTGGTGACATGCCTAAAGTCAGAACTGCAATCCATTTTTTTTCAACAAATCAATGTAATGTTATCCCATGAGACACGGCAATGACCTGCTGCTTATAAATGAGAAGAAGAAATTAAAGGCAAGAGAGGACATTACAGCAGTCATCTGCAATAGTAGAATTACTCAGGGAGGTTTTCTGTTTTGTTTTGGTTGTGATATTTTGAAACAGTGTCTTACTTTGTAGCTTGGGCTGTCCCTCAACTCACTATGTAGTCCAGGCTAGCCTTGAGTTCAAGGCAATCCTCCTATCTCAGTCTCCCAAGCACTAGGATTGCAGCAGGCATGAAGTGCTATGTCCCAGGCTCATGAGTTGTTAATTATAATGAGGCCCAACTAGATCTGGTGGCGTAGGCCTCTCATCCAAGTACTGGGGAGGCTGAGGCAGGAAGATGGCAAGCTCAAGGTCTTTCTGAGCTTCAGACTAAGTTTAAATCATCTTGGGCAACTTAATGAGACTCTGTCTAAAATTTTTTTAAAAGACAATTTTAAAAAAGAAAAAGAAAAGGTGGGTGGGTGCTGTGGTAGAGTGCTTGCCTAATATACATGAAGCCCTTGTTTCAAATCCAAATACTGCAAAGATGAGCATGTAAAAATAAATAAGTAAACAACAATCAAGCCATATCCCACTTTACTTAATTCATATGGTATTGGGTTCATAATGTGTAATATAACAGATGTAGCATCTTTGTCACTCTTAATTACACACCTCAGTATCCTTGTGATTTTAGTGAGAATAGACCAATTACTTATATGTTTGCATATTTGGTCTCCAGTTGATAGAACAATTTGGGAAGGATTGGGATGTGTGGCCTTGTTGGAGGAGGTATGTCACTGGGGGTGGGCTTAGAAGTTTCAAAACCCCAAGCCATTCCCAGGGTGCCATCTCTCTTCATCCTGCTTCTGAGATAAGATGTGAGCTCTCAGGTGTTGCTGTCCTGCCTTTGCTCTGCCATCATGGATCCTAACCCTCTGAAACTGTGAGCCCAATTAAACACTTCCTTTTATGAGTTGCTTGCTCAGGGTGTTTTGTCACAGAAATAGAAAAATAGCCCAGGCAATCATATTCTCACATTGTTGAGAACAATCTACACAACGTTTTTATCTTGCAAACCTGAAATTCTGCTCACATTAAACAGGAACTCCTATATTCTCACTACCCAGGCTCTAGTCATCACTTCTGCTGCTGTGTGTGTGTGTGTGTGTGTGTGTGTGTGTGTGTGTGTTTGGCTGGTTTGGTAGTCCCATGGGTGAAATCATAGTTTTTGTCTTTTTGTGACTGGATCATTTAATTTATCATAATGTCTCCTAGCTTCATTCATGTTGTAGCATGTAACAGGATTTCCTTCCTCTCTCCCTCTGATCCATGCCCCATCATGTGTACAGTAGATATCCCATCTTCCTCACTCATTAGTAACAGATGCTACATCACTTTCATCTCTGAGATGTTGTACATAGTGCTTCTGAGAACATAGATGTGTATTTATTTCTGGGCTTTCTATTTTATTGTAGTGGTGGGTGTTTGTGAGGGGGTGTCATGTGAGTGTATGCATACATGTATGTATTTATGTTCATGTGTGAATGCATGTGTGCATGTGAGGGATAGAAGTTAAGATTGTATATCTTCTTAAGTCACTTTACTATATTTTTTGAGACAGTCTTATTCACTGAACCTGGAGTTTGCCAATTCAACTAAGACTAGATGACCATGAGCCTTTGGGACCTTTCTGTCTCTGTCTCCCCAACTCTGAGATTATAGGCAGGCACTTGCTCCCATGCACAGCTTCTTAATGTGGGTTCTGGAGACTGAATTTAGTTCTTCATACTTGAATGGCAAATGCTTTACTGATGAAGCCATCTCTCAGACCCTATGTATCTGTCTTTATACAAACATCACACTATTTTGGTAACTGTTGCTTTATATTTTTTTAAATAAGGATATGTGAACTCTTCAAATTTGTTCTTCATTCCCCCAAAATTATTTGACTCTTTGGGGTTACTTAGACTCTCGTGTGAATTTTATTATACCATAAAAGGAATTGTGAAAGGGATTGCATTGATCCTACCAGATTGCAGGCCTCCTAATCTGATGAGCAAAGGGGTCAAGACCAGGCTGAGGATGAACTTCTTTTGAAGAGGACAATCTTCTACATCAACGAGTTTGGATTTCAGGACTAGTTTGCTCATGTGCAGATAAACCATTACCAGCCTAACAAGACCACTCTGGGTAACAGCTTTGTCCTCTCGTTACATGCCTTTCTGTTTTATTGGTTTTAGTGTATATATTTTTATGTTCTTGGTATGATATTCCAAAGCACACAATATGTAGAAGTAATAATAATGAAACCATAGGTTTGGGAGATCTGCCTGTGTCTGTCTCCCCAGCACTGGGATTAAAGGCATGTACCACTACCACATATAGAAATGTATTTTCTATTTAATTTTGATGTTGATTCTTGTAACTTTGCTAAATTTATTATTAGTTCCAACAGATTGTTTTGGGGTATGAAAATTTAGGGTTTTCTATATATAAAATCATGTCATCTGTAAACAGATTAATTTTCCTTTTGCTGTTGAGGAGACCAGTTGAATGTCTCTTACTTCTTTTTACTATCTAAAATTTTCTGCTTAAAACTAAAGTACCGATGACTGCTTCTATTTCCTTAGGGGTTATAGGTCTATTTAAATTGTTTATCTCTTCTTTATTTAATTTTGGTATGTGGTACCTATCCAGAAAATTGTTCATTTCCTTTAAATTTTCCAATTTTGTGGAGTACAACTTTTTGAAGTATGACCTGATGATTCTCTGGATTTCCTCGGTATCTGTTATGTCCCCCTTTTCATTTCTGATTTTGTTAGTTTGCAGCTGTAATTCTTGTCTGGAGAGCTTACCTTCAACCATATCCTGTTCAAATGACTCCAGAGGAACACCATCAGCCCCAGCACCAAGACTGAGGGGCAACCCATTAGAGTCTGCATTCTTGTTGGCTGCAGCAGAATCTTAAGAAAAGGATTCAGGACAGCTTCAAGAGCCAAGGAAATAAAAGGAGACATTTCTTCAGATTTCTGAAACAAAGGTAGACTTGCCTCTTTGCCAGTAACATGAGGGGACTCAAAGATGGAAACTGCTATCACCATCAAGCCATGAGACTTGAGATGGATCTTGAGTATGCTAAAAGGCTGAGCATAGAGCTGGCATGGTACTCTGTGTGAATGACTTCGTTTGAGTCCTGAAGCCAGTGCTGCTCCTGATTTTCAGTGATGTGACCCTTCCCCCAATTCCTTTCATGTCAAAGCCAGTTTGGGTGGACATATTCTGTCATTTAGACAGGAGTCTAAACTGACTTAGAGCCGGCAGTCTTGGGCACAGGCAGAGAAAAGGCTGTTGATACCGACCCATGTGGCCCTTGAACAGATTCACTTCCTAGTCAGAGTCAGTGCAATTCAAAGCTGGTCCACCTTGCTGGCCTCAGGAATTGCCACAGTCCCCAAACCTAGCACCTGACATAACCTCACAGGTTACATTTCCCCACCACTCGGGCTTTTAGGCCAATTCTCTTCCTCTGAACTGTTCTCTAGGAAAGGCTTAGTTAATTCACTCACCCTAAAGAATGCATGACTCATCTTAAGTGTTAAAATATGTGCATTTCAAAGGGACACAAAGTATACAATAGTGAATGTATTTCTAGTGGTGGGCTTTTGTTGGCACTAGAGAAAATGTGAAATTTTTCAAGTTGTTCTTGTTCATAGCATTTTTAAAAGCCCTTTTCATTGCGGACAAATGGGTTTTTCTGTGCCTATATAATGCCACCATACTGTACTTTTACAATCAGTAATGAGTATAACTACCCACACGGGGCTTCACAGCCTGTCCTACTTCTATGTAGAAAAAGTACCTTCAGAAACATGAAGGGAAAATTGCCATGCCAATAGTAATCAAACATGTATATGCTTCATATCATAGGCATTGCTCTAAGTACTTACATATAACATCTAATCAAATCTTCAGCATCAGTACTCTGCAAAGTAGCCATATTATGAGGCTTATGTTAAAGTTGAGGAACTTGAGGTGCAGAGAAATTAAACAACCTAATCAAGGTAGCACTGTGACCAAGCTAAAGAAAACAGCCAATCTCAAATCCCTCAGAATCACTGAGGTAGTGACCAAGCTCAAATCCCTCAGAATCACTGAGGTAGTGACCAAGCTCAAATCCCTCAGAAGCACTGAGGTAGTGACCAAGCTCAAATCTCTCAGAATCACTGAAGTAGTGACCAAGCTCAAATCCCTCAGAATCACTGAGGTAGTGACCAAGCTCAAATCCCTCAGAATCACTGAGGTAGTGACCAAGCTCAAATCCCTCAGAAGCAGTGAGGTAGTGACCAAGCTCAAATCCCTCAGAAGCAGTGAGGTAGTGACCAAGCTCAAATCCCTCAGAATCACTGAGGTAGTGACCAAGCTCAAATCCCTCAGAAGCAGTGAGGTAGTGACCAAGCTCAAATCCCTCAGAAGCACTAGGTTAGACTTGTCTTTAGTTTTCCTTGATTCCCAAGATGCCTAATGAAAGCATTGTTTTAGAATCATAATGTTTGGAAGCCAATTGAAGTACCTGGTACATCATAAAAATGAGGCGAAGGGATTAAGGGGACAGTGCTGTTTGTAAAATGATTGCCATCTAAGCTGAGGCTTTGAGTTTAGATTTCATGTGGAATGTCGGGTGTGGCAGCACACATCTGAAATCCCAGCTGTGGGGAGGTGGAGACAGGAACATTCCTAGGATTTGCTAGCCAGCCAGTAGGGCTGAATTCATAAACTCCAGCTTTAGTGAAAGAACCTGTCTCAAAAATTAAAGAATAGTACAAGTGAGAATGACATTTGATGTCAAGCTCTGATTTCCACATGCACACATGTACATATATACTTTTACACAGTGCACATGCAGGACAGGCACACATGTGTGTATACGCTCTTACACGGAGCACACGCAGGACATGCACACATGTACATATATGATCTTACACAGGACATACACACATGTACATATTTTCTTCTTCCCTTCTTTCCCTTTCCCCAACCCTTTCTCTCTCTCTCAACCTAGATTTTGTTTTTTTTTCTATTTTTTTGTGGAAAATACTGATAATGTCTAAATCTTAAAAGTAGACATGTAAGACCATAAAAGCTCTTCACTGTCAAAGAAACAATGGTGTTGGGAAAAATACCAAAAACAATTTTGTAATCCAATCAGCCACTAATAAGCCAACTCTTCTGGGTGTAGCACAAAGACTTCACAGAGAAGAAACTGTAGAAGCTGTCATAGGAAGTCAGTGTAGGAAAGGGTCATTTGGGTATGGCAAGGATGAGAACACAAGTAAGGACACGTGTGGGAGACGTACAGGGAAGAGGCTGAAGAACTTCGAGCCTGGAAGTGAGGCTGGGATGACAGTCCATGATTTGGAGAAGTGTCTCCCAAAGGCCTGTGTGTTGAATGCATGGTCCCCAGACCACAACATTACTGGGAGGGGATATAACCTCTAATAGATAAGATCTAGTGGGAGGAATTTCAGTAATGGGAACATGTCCTTGAAGAGGATGTTAAGACCCTGGCCCCTTTTGCTCTCTTTGCCTGGCTGCCTCGATATGAGCAATCTCTTCTGCCACATGTTCCTGCCGTGATAGACTAGCTAAGCATAGACCCAAGTACAACACGATAAAGTGATTGTAAACAGCAACCTCCAAAATCATGAGACAGCAGCAGCACAAGAGAAACAAACTTTTCCTTCATTACAAATTGATTATGTCTTTTCACAGAGATGGAAAGCTGACTAACATGGATGGGCAAATAGGGACATGAGAACTTATTATGCCAAGCTAAGGAATAATTTTTTTCTTTGTTTTGTTCATGGCTGTTCTTCATCAGTTTGAACTAGAAGTAATATTTATGCTGGGTGGTGTTGGCACACACCTTTAATCCCAGCACTCGGGAGGCAGAGGCAGGCCGATCTCTGTGAGTTTGGGGCCAGCCTGGTCTACAGAGTGAGTTCCAGGACAGCCAGGGCTACACAGAAAAACCCTGTCTTGAAAAACAAAAAGAAAAAAGAAAGAAAAGTTTTATAAACTCTACGGTGTTAGATCTGGGTGGTTTAGAGCAGTTTTAGGTCCACAGCAGAATAGAGGGGAAGGTATGGAGGGCTCCGATATACTTCTTGCCCTCACGTATATATATCCTCCCTCAAGTTTGCTTGGGTCCTGGAAGGAGGGGTTGGAGGGTGTGGAAGGAAAATGGAAGAGTTCCAGGGAGGCAGGTTTAGAAGCCAGTAGCATCAGTCAGAGCAGAGCTCTCTGCGCAGCAGCAGAGTGGGGGCCAGAGGATCAGGTACATGAAGAGATAATATTTGGAAAGGAGACTAACAAGGCATCGAGCATGAATGAGAAGGAAAAGGCAATTCAGCCTTTCTGGCCTTTGAGCTGGGAGACCGGTCAGGTAGTAAAGATTCCTACTTCTTTTCTGCAATTGGAGACAAGTGTGGAAGCTCACATCTGTAATCCCAGTTTTGTGAGAATGGATGATCACCAGTTCTAGAATGGCTTGGACTATGAGTAAGAGAATGTCCCAAGCCAATCAAACAGAAAAGCAAAGAATAACAGCAATACAAATCAGGGATGTAGCTTGGTTGGTGGGTAGAGAGCTTGGTTAGCATACACAAAGCTCTGGGGTAAAGCCCTAGTAATGTATAAACCAAGTGTGGTGGTGCTGTAACCCCAGCACTCAGGAGGTGAAGGGAGGGTCAGTAGTTCCAGGTCATTCTTTGTCCAAGACCAGCTGGGATGCTGGAGACCTTGCCTCAAATCACAACAGCAACAACAAACTCAACAGTGATAGTAAGCACCTACAGCAGATGAAATAGAAAGCTAAAGTCCCACCCCATACCCAGCACTCCTCCCCAGGGCACAGTTATCAAAGACACTCTGACACATTTCTTCAGTTTTTGCTATCCTCATACTGAACTCAGTTGATTTTCCAAACCCCAAAAGCACTTAGTTTGTAAAAACACCTCGTAGAGGCCTTGCACTTTTTAGAGAGGATGTTTCCAGTTCACCACGTGCTTCATGTCTCACTGGGTAAAGTTTCACGAGACCAAAATATTGCTACACAGTGCCCAAGTGTAAGGTGTGAGTAATTAAATTGATAAATCTTCTTTATTGTCCCTTCTCCAAGAATATAGGTACATTCAAACCCCAAAGTGAAAAATAAAATATATTCTCTTTGGTATTCAATGCCCTGGAAATGCCATCAGGCTTGTGTTTGTATGTATATCAACTTGTAGTTGGGGAGTTAGTTACAGAAACTGTACTCTCTTGTGGTCTAGATAATATCACTTCTGCAAATTAAAAATAAGGAATATGTTACAGGGACATGAAGAGACAACACTGATTGCATGTGAAGTCATGGTTGAACAGCATCCTCTCTACCATGCACTTGTGTTTATACACACACCCCACATACACACAATAAAAGCCAATACAAATTTCAGAGAAAAGAGGCATGCTTTTTTATGGCACTACAATAAATTGTGATGCTCACAGTAATTTGTGATATACCTCCAGAGAATTCACTGGTTGGGAGTGATTACCACTAACTACAATACAATAAAATTCTAACTCTTTTGCAGAAAAAAAGAAGCTTGTATCAAAAGATACAAAACATCATGAAAGAGTGGTACTTTGGACAAAAAAATTGTTAAAATTTTAAGTCTTATGTTTAATACTTTTTAGCTTCAAGTAAAAATAAATTATTTAATATGTAGCAAGTGCTAATTGTCGGCCAGTGGTTTTCTTAAAACATCCTTAATAGTACAACTTTCCAGAGAGGCATTTCTATAGTTCAAAAAGTAATTCTAGCATGAATAGGAAGTATTATACAAGGAATAACTAACATTATTAAATATTCATTATATACCAGGCACTCCTTCAAAATGTTCCCTCTTTACAATCCTACGATAAGACCCCATGCTGGTTACTAATATTGGTTGCCAGTCTGATGGGCTCTGGAGTCAACTAAGATGCAGGCTCCTTGGCACATCTGTGAAGGATTTTCTTGATTAGGTTAACTGAAGTCGTACAAACCACCTTAAGTATGAGTGGCAGCATCTAAGAAGGTGTGGGAGCAAAGCTTTTGCTTCTCAACTGTTTGCTTTCCTGTTCTGCTGGTCCTCTGCCCAGCTGTTGCTGCTGCCACTGCAAATGCTGCTATTATCCTTCACTGCTATAGGAACCCAGCTTCTCGGACCTTCCAACAAGGAGTGAAGACAAAGGGCTCTCTAGGAGTTATTTTGGGCCATCCAGTGCCAGGGTGAAAGAGCTGCAGCATCCATTCTTGTAGATTGAGAATCTCTATTCTCAACCTCTCTTTTGTGAAGATACCATTACTGGACTACCCAAGCCATGCCATGTTAGACAATTGAAAACATTCCCCTTTAATAGGTACTGACTCTGTCAGTTCTGTTCCTCTAGAGAACCCTGAATATTTACCTTGTTTTCCCATTTTCAACACATGCATTCCAGCTTCTAGTATTGAGGATTTTATATTCAAGGGCTACTTAACCAGGCTGTTACTTTAGGGTGTTGTGAAGATTAATGAAGTTGATAAAATATTAGCTACATGGACTAGAAACAAAAGGAATATTTAAATGATTAAATTCAGAATTGGAGGTGGACATTTTGTTTTGAAACCAGGAAGTCTTACTGTGTTGTCCAAACTGGCCTAGAACTTCTGAATTTGGGAGATCCTCCTACCTCAACTTCCCTAGTTGCTACAAGCATATGCCACCATTCCTGCCTTAGAAAAGGGTATATTAATGCAAATTCTACAGAAATAAAAAGTATAACAGAGGAAAATGAACAATTGGAGGCCAACAAAGGGTATTACTTAGATGAAATGGAAAAGTCCTTAAGAACACAAAACCTATCAAGACTAAATTTTAAAGAAATCAATAACTCAAACAGATGTATAAAAAGAAAAGAAATTGAAAAAGTGATAAAATAACAATCTGGAAAAGAAAAGCACTGCAGCAAGTTTGGCCAAATATTTAAAGAAACAAGAATAATCCTTCTCAAACTTTTCCAAAATAATCAGAGGAAGGCTGCTTCTTATGTTATCCCATGAAACAATAGCCCCACACCAAACTCAGAAAGACACACCACCACAAGAAAAGAAAACTGCTGGGATGTGGTGTTACATGTCTATAATCCCAGAAGCTGGGGGACCAGTGCAGGAGGATCAAAGTTTGTGGTCAGCTTGAGACATATATTGAGACCTTGTTTCAAGGAACCCAGCTAAGGATACACTTCAGAGGAGGGGTATTCACTTAGCACGAGCAAGGTCCTGGATTTTTTTCTCTTCTTTCTTTCTTTCTTTCTTTCTTTCTTCTTTCTTTCTTTCTTCCTTCCTTCCTTCCTTCCTTCCTTCCTTTCTTTCTTTTCTTTTTTTTTTGGGGGGGATTTTTCCAGACAGGGTTTCTCTGTATTGTTTTGGAGCCTGTGATAGAACTCACTGTGTAGACTTGGCTGGCCTCAAACTCACAGAGATTCACCTACACTGGTATGCCTTATAAATATTCATATGAGCTCTTCCATTTGTTTTTTCAAGACAAGGTCTCACCACATAGCTCTGGCTGTCCTGGAACTCACTATGTGAACTAGGCCAGCCTCAGACTCACAGAAAACTACCTGCCTCAGCCTCCCAAATGCTGGAATTTAAGGAGTGTGTGACTATGCCCATCTGGTATAAGAATTATTAACAAAACATAGGCAAAACAAATTCAGCAGCATGTTAGAAATACTGTACATAATGACCAACTGGGAGTTATTACTGGATCAGATAATTCCAATGAAAAAGGTTACTAGAATACGATGCATTGATAAAAAGCAAAAAAAAAAAAAAACCCAAAACAAACAAACAAAAACAACCATACATAATCATCTGAGTTGGGGCAAAAATTATAAAAACTTACCATTATTTTATGCTTCAGCTCAGCTGTTCAATACACAAAGACCAGGAAGAGATGAAAACTACCCTATCATGCTAAGGGCCACATATGAAGAACTCAGTAGATTGGTGTGTTTGTCCTGAAGATGAGGGAGAAAGCAGCGATGGCTGCTTTTGACACTTGTATTCAGCACAGTACTGAGCCTCTACACTTCAGCACACCCTCTATCCCTGAACTAAAACCCCAACCCTCAAAATGCCATTTGCACTTTCTCTACTCTGCCATTTTCCCTAAAAGACTTACTTTGAGTTTCCAATTAGGTTTGTCAACGGGAGCACCAATAGCAGGTCAGAGAAGAAAGAAGGTTCAAGTTGATGAGCTGTGCCTTCTCCAGTCCCTTTCTGTTTTCAGAGCGACTGTGCCATGCCTAGAAGCTTACCTAAATCCTACCCACACCTTCATAAATTGCCCCTTTATTAAGTGTTCCTCCCAGATCACCACATTTATATAATTCAAAGTTTTCTGATGGGATTATAAAAGATGGAGAGCTGATGGGGGAAGGAGGTATGCCGCACTACAGAATCTAGCCCTAAGTAGCTTGATTTTTCTGGTTTTCTCAGCATGGTTCTTTTTCAACCTGGCAACAATAAACTAAAAGGTAAGTCAAAATGCCAGCCTAGAATTTCCAAAGTTCCCAAGGACTCCCTTGGCTTGGATAGCACTTTTCTCTCATGGGGGGATCCACACAGTCTTCCAGATGGCAGCTGGTAGCAGACATCTAGTCAGAGCAATGAAGTTTGATAAGTCTTGTGTATAAAGTCCTGTGTTCTCATCATCTCTGTCCATCACGCATGAGCAACCCAATGGCTCAAGTTTGACAACTAGAATTTTTATCACCAGCTGAAGACATAATGCCAGCCTCTCCCAATTGGACAGTCTCTCCTAAATTTATGTTGCTGATTGAGACAAGGATTCACTAGTATCCTAGGCTGCCTTTGAGTGAACATCCTTCTCACTCAGCCTCCCAAGTGGTAGGATTATAGGTGTGTACTAAAAGTTCCTAACCATACACCTTTTGTCTTTTACCTAATGCAAGGTTACAAAGATTTTGTTATGTTTATTTTCTTCTAGATATTTTATATTTTAGGACTTACATAAAAGTCTATAACAGACTTCTGTTTAGATTTTCATATTTTAAATGGTGAGCTCACGATTTAAAATGTTTATTAAAATAATATTTTCCATTATGATAAAACATGTCTTATACAATCAAAAAGAAAATGTCAGTGACTAGACTAATGTGGTGGTTTGAAAGAAAATGGCCCCCCAAGGGAGTGGCACCATCTGGAGATGTAGCTTTGTTGGAGTAGGTGTGGCCTTGTTGGAGGAAGTGTGACACTGTGTGAATGGACTTTGAGGTCTCCTTTGCTCAAGCTAGTTCAGTGTGATAGATAGTTTACTTCCTGATGTCTGTGGATCAAGATGTAGAGCTCTCAGCTCCTTCTCCAGAACCGTGTCCATGGTATGCTGCCATGTCCTGCTATGATGATAATGGACTAAACATCTGAAACTGTAAACCACCCAATTAAATGCTTTCCTTTATAAGAGTTGGCGTGATCATGGTGTCTCTTGACAGCAATAGAAATCCTACCTAAGAATTCCAATTTATTCCAGTAGATGGAAATGCATTGAATGAAGCTTAGTGAATATCTTTTTTGATAAAAGGTTATCTTCTTCTCTCCATGCTTAGTGTCATGCCTAGACTATTGCACATTCTGAACATCTGCTTCACCACTGAGCTACCCCTCAGCCTCTGATGCAGTTTTCATATGTGTACAGCTACTTTTATGTCAACTTGACATAAGCTAGGGTCATTTTGGAAAGAGAGAACCTCAACTGAGAAAATGCCCCCACTGGATTAACTTGTGGTCCAGCCTATGGGACATTTTCTTGATTGATGATTGATATGGTTGGGACCAGCCCACTGTGAGCAGTGCCACCCCTGGGCTGGTGGTCTTCAGTTCTATAAGAAAGCAGGCTTGAGCAAACCATGAGGAATAAGCCAGTAAGCAGCACTCCTCCATGGCTTATGCTTCATTTTCTGCCTCCAGTTCCTGACCTGACTTCTTTTTAACATAGACTGTGATGTGGAAGTGTAAGCAAAATAAATCATTTCCTCCAAAGTTGCTTTTGATCATGGTGTTTTATCACAGCCATAGAAACCATCACTAAGACAATATCAATTTAAATCTTATCCTCCATGAAGATTCCTGGCTAGCTGTATTTACTTCTGTTCTCAGTAGTGTCTGTGGCTCAGTACCAGGCATTTTATGGACACACTCATGTCTGATTGGATTGCTGGTTGTTAAAGTTTAAGAGAAAAATGTCCCTTGTAGACTCATGTCCCTAGCTGGTAGTGATGTTTTGAAAAGTTTTGGAATCTTTTAGGAATAGAACTTTTGAAGGTTGTAGTCTATCTTGTCCCTGTCTCTCTGTTTTTTTTGGGGGGGGGTTGTTTGTTTGTTTGTTTTTTGTTTTTGAAAGGATGGTAGCAGATTTATTGGGGCGCCCTAGTACTGACGCTGGGGCTTGCCCATGGTACTTTTGATGTACAAAGCCCGGACATTCTGCAAGTTCTTCTTGAGCGAGGACACCAAGAAATTGACAGCCAGGTGGATGTTGTAAACCAGCTCATCATCCGTCATCTTCATGTGGCCAATAGCCACAGCCAGACACAGCACCTTCTTCATCTGGAACTTGATGGTAGACTTCATAGCCCGGACATTCTGCCAGTTCTTCTTGAGCAAGGACACCAAGAAATT